TATGGAAAGCCTTCCAGTTAGTGGCAATACATTTTCTCGGAAACAACAAGGCAGGCAACTACAGGTTGTTGGTGGAAAACCTCCTTAAGGCATACAGAAGCCTTGGTTGCAACATGTCAGTAAAGATACATTTTTTGCACTCTCATCTAGATTTTTTTCCACCGAACTGCGGAGCAGTGAGCGACGAGCACGGCCAGCGATTTCACCAGGACATTGCAACAATGGAGAAACGCTATCAGGGCAAATGGAGCCCATCAATGCTTGCAGACTATTGCTGGACAGTGACAAGAGATGCTCCATTTAATGAATACAAGAGACAAGCCAAGATGCGCCGAGTAGACACTGAATAGGACTAAACTATGTAGATAATAGTTTTTTGCCTTTTGTTTCATAATAAATTTTATTTATATAACCCCTGCTGATTTTTAAAGTGTTACATAAACAGGACAGATGAAATATTATCATGTAAAGCAACCATAAACACATGAAAAGACCTAGGTTTACAATTTATGATTAAAACTCTACTATCTACACAATATACATAGATATAAAAAGTAAAAACTTAAATATCTTAGAAACAGTAGCCAATCAGTTATTTTAATTGTCATATTTGAATTCAGCACATCAAAATACATAATAAATAGCACATTTTATCTCTGAAGCAGACGACTTCTCAAAAATTGTAGACCAGTGTTATTGAACATTGCAAATAAATGTTTGCATCTCAACAAATTAAAAATTAGGTGTAATTGATTTCCTTTCTTCTCCCTTCTCCTCCAGCCACCTAATACTCTGAAACTGAAATTTCAGGAAATGTTTTTATTAATGTTTCTGGTTTTAGAAACTTCTGTTCCTGAACTAACAGTACCCATATGTTGTTTTTTTTGTTTGTGTCTTTTTTTTTTTAAGTTAGCGATTTTAAAATGTTCAGTACCACTATTAAGATTTTTTTTCACTTTTTCTCTTTATCTCTTTTCTGCTAAAGACTCTTGATGTATCTGAAAGCTTTGAGGAAATAAGCTTTTTTGATAAGCGATATTGCAACACGTAATTCACCTTGCAGTTTGGTTTTGGTAGGGGAATATGACTAATCTCTGCAGTTTCAGAGCAGGGTACAAAACACATTGGGTTTTGTTTAAGCATTTTAGTTGTTTATTTGAATACAAGTTGTCATTAGGAATGAATGCTTGAGTTATAATAGGAAGGGGGCTGCTTGTGCTGTGGGCAATCTGTATTTATCATTTAGAGGTATGCAAACAACTATTTTTGTTTTGTTTGTTTTTTTCTGGTTCAGCAGCGGAACTGAAAATGTCAGACTTTGTTTACTACAAATGTTTCGTTTGACTCAAAAGGAAATGTTTAGTTTAGGGTTTTTTTCAATTGAACCAAATTTTTGAAAGGAAAAATAATTTCAAATTAGAAAAGTGAAACATTTTGTTTCAAAAATATTGATGCAAAGCATTTAGCTTTTTCAGTGTTTTTTACTCAAAACAATTTGATGATTTCAACATGAATTCGAAAACTGTTTGTCGATCCAAATCTGCATTTTTCAGAGGAAAAAAAAGTTTTGTTGAAAATTTTTGTCCAATCTGTTGTCACATGTCTAGCTATTATGATGATTGAAGCAAGACAGTTTATAAAATAAAATGTTCATAGGACTGGAAGGGACCTCGAGAGGTCATCTAGTCCAGTGGCTTTCAACCTTTTCAGACTACTGTACCTCTTTCTGGAGTCTGATTTGTCTTGCATACCCCCAAGTTTCACCTCACTTAAAAACTACTTGCTTACAAAATCAGACATAAAAATACAAGTGCCACAGCATGCTATTACAGAAAATTGCTTACTTTCTCATTTTTACTATATTATTATTAAACAATAGGAATATAAATATACTTACATTTCAGTGTATAGTATATAGAGCAGTATAAACAAGTCATTGTCTCTATGAAATTTTAGTTTGTACTGACTTCACTAGTGCTTTCTATGTAACCTGTTGTAAAACTAGGCAAATATCTAGATGAGTTGATGTACCCCCTTGGAAGACCTCTGCGTACCCCAGGGGTACACATATCCCTGGCTGAGAACCACTGATCTAGTCCAGTCCCCTGCACTCATGGCAGGACTAAGTATTATCTAGACCATCCTTAACAGGTGTTTGTCTTACCTACTCTTAAAAATCTCCAATGATAGAGATTCCACAATCTCCCTAGGCAATTTATTCCAGTGCTTAACTACTCTTGACGGTTAAGAAGTTGTCCATGATGTCCAACCTAAACTAGCTGTGCTGCAATTTAAGCCCATTGCTTCTTGTTCTATCCTCACAGGCTAAAGAGAACAATTGTTCTCCTTCCTCCTTGTAACAACCTTTTATGTACTTGAAAACTATTATCCTGTCCCCTCTCAGTCTTCTTCTCTTCTCCAGACTAACCAAACCCAATTTTTTTCAATCTTCCCTTATAGGTCATGTTTTCTAGACCTTTAATCATTTTTGTTGCTCTTCTCTGGACTTTCTCCAATTTGTCCACATCTTTCCTAAAATGTGGCATCCAGAAGTGGACACAATACTCCAGTTGAGGCCTAATCAGTGTGGAGTGGAGTGAAAGAATTACTTCTCATGTCTTGCCTACAACACTTCTACTAATAGATTCTAGAATGATGTTTGCTTTTTTTTGGAACAGAGTTACACTGTTGACTCATAATTATCTTGTGATCCACTATGACCCCCAGATCCCTTTTTGCAATATTCCTTCCTAGGCTCTCATTTCCCATTTTGTATGTACGCAACTGATTGTTCCTTCTTAAGTGGAATCATTCTATCAGATAATTAGGGTAGTATGACATACTGTTTAGAATCACTAACACCATCATCATGGGGCTATTAGATAGGAGACCTACACCTCCTTATCTTTTGTGCATGTCAGTTGTGTTCTGAGCATGCCTACCGGATGGGCAGGGGAACACCTAGTTTGTAAATCCCGCCAAGGCTTAGGCATGTGTTAGGTGCTGAGTAGCTT